GGGTTTGGGTTGGAAGGGAGCTTAAAGCTCCTCCAGCTCCAACCCCTGCCACAGGCAGGGACACCTTCCACTAGAGCAGGTTGCTCCAAGCCCCTGTGTCCAACCTGGCCTTGAACACTGCCAGGGATGGGGCAGCCACAGCTTCTCTGGGCACACTGTGCCAGCACCTCAGCACCCTCCCAGGGAAGAGCTTCTGCCTCAGAGCTCATCTCGATCTCCCCTCTGGCAGGTTAAAGCCATTCCCCTTGTCCTGTCCCTGCAGGACCTTGTGCAGAGCCCCTTTCCAGCTTGCTTGTTGGCCACTTTAGGTACTGGTAAGATGCCCTAAGGTCTCCCCGGAGCTATGGAGATGTTCTGTGTCTCCAATTCCTGTGGACAGAGCTGCCAGTCAGGCAGCCCAGACCTTGCTTGCAATCAGTGATGTGTCCTCTGGGCTGCATGGAGGTGACATCCCTCACAAGGGCTTAATGGTACCACTGATTTGTGGCCCTCTCATGAAAGCAGCTAGCACTTTAATGTGGTTCTCCAGGCAAACATCCTAGTGGGCATCTTGCTGCACCCATGGAAGGGGCTTGTCAAGGTCCTTGCCAGCATCTTGCAGCTGGGCATAGGCTTCTGAGCCTTGAGCGGGCTGGGAACACTAGAGGTAAAGCACACCTTGGCATTTTGCAAGTGGCCTTTCTGAGAGAGATGAAGAGATCCAGACGTGGAATAACAAATCCTTTTCCATACGGTGTTGCAGTTCAGCTTACACAGGGGGAGAGCTTGGTGCCCTTGTGAAGCACACAGCTTTTTATCTGCCAGTGCATCCCTTTCCCTGGGTGCCACTGAGTGACCTGGGAGCTTCCCTGCTGTAGCTAGGCTGAACTGAGGCATCTCTAAATGGTTTAGAGTGTCTGTCCTTCCACAGGGCATTCATTGTCTGGCTGGCGAACAGTGAGACGATTCGTGTCTATAAAATGACCAAGAAGGATGATGGAAACTTCACCTTCACTGCAGCTTCCGGGGACTTCCCAAAGAAGCACAAGGCTCCCATCATCAACATAGGAATTGCAGAGACAGGTATGGAAATAATCCGCTCACTTGTTGAAGCTTGAGATTAGCTTTTATGTCTGTGTTAAGCTTTTATGTCTGTGCTGGGTTGGAAGTTTTTGGCATTCTCAGGGCTCACTTCTGCACTAGTACTTCATTCTCTGTAGTCTTAGGTGTCACCCTTTAGCCTTCGTTTACTACCAGTTGACCTGAAAGATGTCCTTCTCAGACAGATTGTATTCCTGGAAGCACAGAACTAGCCCAGTGTGCCCAGTCTCTTAATTTCCATTTTCAGGCATGCTGTTGCAAAGAGGTCTGCTCTCAGTGTTGAGAGGCTTGCTGCTCTCTGGCTCACCAGTCTGTCTTTAACCAAAGATCTCTCTAGTGAGTTCAGATGCTCTATCTGAAACTTTTGGCATCTTCTAGACCAGAGGGGTGCGGGGGGTCTGTGTTAATGGAGAGGGCTTGATGAAACAGTGGCTGGTTGGAAGTGGGTGGATGTGAGTTCACCTCTGTAACAGGAGAGCAGAGAACAGGTTAACCGAGACCTTTGCTCAGCTGTGAGAGTGAAAACTTACCCCTGCAAAAAACAGCTGAAAGGTAAATTGGCAACTCCTCATCCAGGAGAGAGGGAAAAGGGGAAAGTGAAGACAAGCAGAGGTCTGGCTGTTGACCTGACCAGTAATCTTGGACAGCAGCAGTGTGAGTTGTAGTCACATACATGCCCGCACCCATGACTTGAAAGTTGTGTTTTAACCACCTGGGGAAGACGGAGCGGCACATTACTGCTGTGGAACCAGGGCAGTGCCAAGCTCTGTGGGTGCAGGGCAGGGAGCATGCAAGGTCTCTGCACGCCCAAGGAGCACCAAGGCTTGACTGGGAGCCGAGGCTCTTTGCTTTGGCCCAGGGGGTTGCCACTCCTTGACTTTTGGTGCTGGTTTTGGTTTTCTTGGCTGCGTGCAGAGAGAGGTTGCCCTGCCTAGGGACTGTCCTGTGCCTCCCAGTCTGTGGTGGCATCACCTGATGTTTGCCTTTTTTTCCCCCAGGAAAGTTCATCATGACAGCTTCCAGTGACACTACCATCGTGATCTGGAGCCCAAAGGGGGAAGTCCTGGCCAGCATTAACACTAACCAGATGAGCAATGCTTATGCTGCAGTGTCGCCCTGCGGGAGGTGAGGGGCAGGAGGTGTTCCAGGGTGGGAACGGGAGCACGCCCGTTCAGCCCATCGGCACTTGGCTGCTATTTTAATGTGATTTTCTGAGGGCTCCACATTTTCCAAAGGGATTCCAGCCCCCAGGAGCAGCTCTGCGGGTGCGCTGGCTCTCACCTGCCTAGCTCACTCAGTTGCTGTTGTGCCTCGGTGCTACTGTCCTGTTGACCATCTCCTGGGGAGCCAGGAGAGCAGCACTCTCCTTGGAGAGCGGAGGTGGGACAACACAAACAGCACTTCCAACCTCTTTGTAACATTTTAAAGCTTAACTATAAAATTAAGATCTTTATCACTGGGAGATTTGTTTACTGGGAAGATCTTATTCTTCACTCTGCCTCTGATTTGGTGCTGCAGGAGGACTTGCTGAGTGCATTTGGAGATAAGAAGCATTTAGGTTCTTCAGTTTGGCCTGAGAGTCTCTAATTCTGAAGGTGCTCTGGTTCCTGGGGGCATTCCCTTTCCCAGCCTGCTATCAGTGGCAAGTGCGAGCGTTTTCAGCTGACTCGAGCCATGGTTTGACTCTGGGCTCTAGATGGTTTTGCCTCTGTGGAGCTTTGTCTGCACACCTCTAGGCCTGCCCCTTGAGCCTGCCTTGCCTGGTAATGCATCTCCTGTGTCACCTCTTGTTTGTTCACACAGGTTCGTGGCATCCTGCGGCTTTACCCCCGACGTGAAGGTGTGGGAGGTGTGTTTTGGCAAGAACGGAGACTTCCGGGAGGTTGCCAGGGCTTTTGAGCTTAAGGGCCATGCCGCTGGCATACATTCCTTCTCCTTCTCCAATGACTCGAGGAGGTGAGGGTCTGTCACTGCTGCCTGAAGCAGCATGCTCTGCCCTTGGGACACACGAACTCACCGCTTCCACAGCCCATTAAAGGGGAGCAATGCCCTGGGCACAGAACCACAGCGGGGTTGTGCTGTCTGCCTCTTCCCCATAGATTTCCTCCCGGAGGTGGCTGCTCTCTGTGCTCTGGACAGAGGGTGAGGGCTGTGTGTGTACACGCACACTTCCCAAAGGAGCCCTCTCTCCACAGAGAGCTCCTGCTTGGCAGGCGTGGCTGGGGAGGGGATGCTGCCACACTTCCTGGCACTCACTGTGCTTCACTCCCGGCTGCAGGATGGCGACTCTTTCGAAGGATGGGACGTGGAAGTTCTGGGACACGGATGTGGAATATAAGAAGCAACAGGATCCCTACCTGCTGCTGACAGGGAAGTGTGAGGTGGCAGAGCCCTGCCGCATCGCCCTGTCACCCAATGCTCACGTCGTTGCTGTCTCCAGTGGCACAGACATTGTGGTGTACAACACGCGGAGAGGCGAGGAGGAGGAGCGCTTCGTGGGTGTGCACGGGCAGTGCATCACGGGCTTGGCT